ATGCTAAACGCCAATAAATTATGCACCTTAAAAAGGACATTGAATTTTATCTCAGTGCAAAATAATTAAAGAAAAACATAAATGATGAATAAATGTAAAAAACAGTCAATGTCACCAGCAATCATAGAAATGTAAATCAAAACAAAAAGTTATTTTTCCATTGCCTTGGCAGATATGACCAAAAATAAAAATACTCAATACTGACAAGAATGATGATCTCATATCCTGTTGTAAGAACTGTAAATTGATCTGTCATTTCTGGAAAATAATTTGGTCATATGTATTAGGAAGCTTAAAATACTGATTCTATTTAACTTAGTCATCCTGATTCTAGAAATCTGCATTCCTTATTTGGTAGACCATGTAGAAAGAGGGCCTTTATCATTTTTTATGAACCTCCCTTTCCTGCTGAGGTAGGTAGAAAGAATGAGTGTCACCCTTACCCTAGGTCCTATTTGGCCTCTATGTAATAGTTCTCATCATTTCTATTTCCTTACCTCTACAACTCGATTCCACTTTATTAATCTGATCCGGATGATTATAATAGTACCCAAAACTGTCGAATATCTGTTCAGTTCACCATCTCCTTTCCCTACAATTCAACCAGTGCAGTCAGCATCTTAATGCTCCTGATTCCCTTCTTTCATTATGTTATCACAATTCTCTAGCACACGTTCTCCCTCAGAAAATCAGGGCTACTCCCTGCTTTGCCTCATAATAATGAGGGCACTTTCTGGAACCAGATTGCTTGGATTTAAATTCCAGCTTGCCACTATGTCTCAGTTTCCTCATTACATAGAGTTGCTGAGAATTGTATAAATTAATACATGGAAAACTCTGAATTTGTGTCAGTTACTATTATTGTTATTGCCTCATAGAGATATTGTGAAGCTCAATGAGATAATGTGCATGAAACTGTTTTGTAATGTACTGCTATTATCATTTTGTATTACAATGATGTATAGCCCTCATCCTCATACATTATAGAAGAACAGGGACTATTATTTATTTTTTAACGGCCAACATTGCACAAAGTAGATGCTCAAAAATTTGTATTTTACTTAAATTCTACTTTTATGATGAAATCGCTATTGACTTTTGGTTATGTTTAGAATAAAGTCTAAACACCATCTCATCAAGACCACTCACAATCTTGCTATAACATACAGATCAACTCATGTCTTCCCCTATGTCAGTGGTCTTCAAAGTGGAGTCCACAGTGGGCAATCCACTGCAGCACAGGAGAAAAATTTTATGGAGTCTATCTACATTTAGTTTTTATCTCATCCTTTGTAAATTTTAACTTTATTTGTATGTATCATTATTAATGTATTCAAAAATACTATGAAAATGCCATAATATGTAAATAAGTGCTAAAATATGTAAATAAATGCTAAAAATATATGGGAAGGGCAGGCTCAAAAACATTTTTGCTAAGGGGGCGTACTGTCTAAAATGTCGAGATCAGTACCCTTTCCCACAACATGGTCTCTCTCCTAGTGCCAAACTGATCTATTCAAGTCATGCTAGAACACAATTCCTATCTCTTTGTTTCCAAATCTGGCTCACAACCAGTCTGCTTGTTTGAAATGACAGCCACTCCTTTTCAAGCTGCAACTTGCATTCTTCACACCAAGACTTAACCATCACCAAATGTAAGCTTCTTAAAAAAAGGGTCTATACCTGGTCCATCTACCCCTAAGCCCCCACGACCCCACCACCAAACAGAAGGGTTTTCTGTAATAACTGGCACATAACAGGCTCCAAATAAATGTTTGCTGAATGAATAAACTAACCCAGAGATTGCTACTAGGAGGCAAGATGGCGTGCTGGTTAACAGCAGAGGCTCAGATCCTAGCTCTGCCACTTGCAAACTGGGCAGCCCCAAGCCTCAGATTCTTCTTCTGTGAAGTGAAGGTAATAAGAGTACCTCTCTCATAGGGGCATTGTGAGGGTTAAATTAGTTGATACTTGGAAGATAACAAGCACTTCATAAATGTTAGAATTATTATGGTGTCCCTGAGATTTAGACACAGTAATGTCTGCAAAGCATCTAGTACACACTGAGTGAATAAGTGACAAAATCTTCTCTACCAGCCACGTTGATATGAATAATTCTTTGTTTCTTTCTTTCTTCTTCCCTCAAATTTACCACCTCACATTTACAGACAACTTTCTTGAGATCATGATGGCACTGTTCACTTGGACTGATTAGTTCATGTTGTCTTCCATGTCTTGTGAATTAATTTCCTTGGAAAGAGTAGCCATGTTTTTCTTTGTTTTAATGGTATCATTGTTGTTGCTGTGGTTCTTGTAGCTGCTGTGTTGTTGTTTGTTTTTTTTTTTTGGTGAGGAAGATTGGCCCTCAGCTAACATCTGTTGCCAATCTTCTTCTTTTTGATGAGGAAGATTAGCCCTGAAATAACATCTGTGCCCATCTTCCTCTATTTTGTATGTGGGATGCCGCCACAGTGTGGCTTGATGAGTGGTGTGTAAGTCTGCACCTGGCATCCGAACCTACAAACCCCCGGCCACGAAAGTGGAGGGCACAAACTTAACCACTACGCCACTGGGCCAGCCCTGATGCTGTGTGTTTTAACAAGAGAAGCTCCTCTATATTTCCAGAAAAAACGTACTATGAATCTGGTGGATAAAACTCTCCTTATTTTGAATTTGCCAATAGCATTTTTTTGCAGAGTTTACATACATATGGTTATTTATAAATGTTGTAGAACTAATACTAGCTGATTCCCTGCCCAGATAGTAAAATTAAAGAAAAAACATTATTTGACTCAAAAAGGTTAATTTAGTAGCATCATTTAATGCAGAAAATATCAAAAATTCATGCAGTATACATGGGGCAATTACAATGTAGTGTGCACTTTTCTTTCTTGCCAATGGGCAAAATCAAGGACCTCTGTGGTACAGTGTTCAATATCATCTTGAGTTTTCCATATCCTTCCAAGAGGGATAACACTGAATATCCCAAGGTGTCATGCCACTTCAGTGTGAGTATGTGGAGAAGATAGTGGAGTGGAAGGAGGGGACAGATTAGACAATTTCTCACATCTCATGAACATTTGAGAAAGTTTTCCTTGGTCATTGGGGCTTTAAGCACTGATTATCTGTTAAATTAACACATTCCATTATATTGATACAGCTCTTAAACTGTAAAAACATTTATTTTTGTAGATGACATAATTGTCTTTGTAGAAAGTCCCAAAGAATCAACAATAACAACAAACCCTCCTGGAACTAATAAGCAATTATAGCAAGGTTTCAGGATACAAGGTTAATATGCAAAAGTCAATTGCTTTCCTATATACTTGCAATGAACAACTGAAATTTGAAATTCAAAACACAACACCATTTCCAATGGCACCAAAAATATGAAATATTTAGGTGTAGATCTAACAAAATATGAATAGGATCTATATGAAGAAAAGTACAAAATTTATAAAAGAAATCAAAGAAAGAAATGGAAAGATATTCCATGATCATGGATAGGAAGACTCAATATTGTTAAGAAATTAGTTAAGATGTGAGTTCAGATACCTCACCAAAGAAGATAGATAGATGGCAATAAGTATATGAAAAGATGCTCAACATCATATGACATTAGGGAATTGCTAATTAAAACAACAACGAGATGCCACGACATGCCTATTAGAATGGCTAAAACTCAAAACACTTACAACACCCAAGCTGACAAGGATATGAAGCATCAGGAGCTCTCCTTCATTGCTGGTGAGAACGCAAAATGGTACAGTCACTTTGGAAGACAGTTTGGCAGTTTTACACACAGCTGAACATAGTCTTACCACTTGATCCAGCCATCACTGTCCTAGTTATTTATCCAAATGAGTTGAAAATGTATGTCCACAGAAAACCCTGCACACGAATGTTTACGGAAGCTTTACTCATAATTGCCAAGAACTGTAAGCAACAAAGACTTCAATCAGTGAATGGAGAAGCAAACACTGGTACATCCATTCATGGAATTTTATTTAGCAATAAAAAGAAATGAGCTATTAAGCCACAAAAACGTCATGAAAGACCTTAAATACACATTGCTAAGTGGAAGAATCCACTAAAAAAGCTACATACTGCATGACGCCAACTATATGACATTCTAGAAAGGCAAAACTACAGAGACCGTAAACAGATCAGTGGTTGCCACGGGCTGCAGGGGAGGAGGGGAGGGATGAATCAGCGGAGCACAGGGGATTTTTAGGGGCAGTGAAACTATTCCGTATGATACTCTAATGGTAGGTGACATTATGCATTTGTCAAAACTCATAGAACAGTATAATACAAAAAGTGAACCTTATCATCAACTATGAACTTTAATTAATAATAATGTATCAATAAAGGTTCATCAACTGTAACAAATGTACCACACAAATGCAAGATGTTAATAATAGGGGAAATTGTGCAGAGTGAGAGTGGGTATATGGGAATTCTCTACTTTCTTCTCAACTTTTCTGTAAACCTAAAACTGTTCTAAAAAATAAAACCTAATATAAAAAAAATTTGTCCATAGTAAATAAAAAAATTAACTCAATAAATTCTATATATACATATGTATAAAAATAAATACATAATATATATGCATGTACACACATTCAGATAAAGTAACTATACATCTCTTTTCATGGTAATTTTTTAGTATTATATTCTATTTCCCTCTCCTAATGTAATGATTCTACAGGGACTGTCAACGGGAGATGAGGGTGATTATGCTAAATTATGCTTACAGGAAATTTGGTAGTGAAAGGATAGTTGTGAGTGTCTGAAGGTTTAGGAAAGAATTATTTTTAAAGGTAATAATGATGCCAACTATAAAAATATATAGTTAGTAGCTCACTAAATTTTCTTTAGTTGTTTCACTTTCTTTCAAGGAACGTAAATGGATTCTTGAATATGAAACTGCATACCGATAGTAGATATCAGGTTTTCCCAGTGAATCAAAATTCGAGGAGAACAAAACCAGCACATACCAATTCATCGATGCTGATCATCAGAACATTCTGATATTCTTTGCCGTCTTTACCTTCAATATCACAATCAGACGAAGCTACTGGCAACAGAACAAGGATCAGGGGAGGAATTCCAAAGATATACCTAAAAGAAACTAAATTCAACAGTAAGTAAGAATAAGCTAAGTGTTATAAGTCATATTATATAATTTGATTGTGGTGTTTCAATTGGCCTGACCATTTATTTCTAATAATTTTAAAAATGCATCTCGGTTTTTGGATAGTGTGGGAAGAACCTTAAAATCCAATATTATGTAACAACCAAAGTAGGACAGCATTTTAGAGTTTAGGTTTCTTTCACTTTATTTTTATTTTATTTTATTTTTGTGAGGAAGATTAGCCCGGAGCTAACATTCGATGCCAATCCTCCTCTTTTTGCTGAGGAAGATTGGCCCTGGGCTAACATCCGTGCCTATCTTCCTCTACTTTATGTGGGACGCCACCACAGCATGGCTCGACAAGCAGTGCATCGGTGTACGCCCGGGATCCGAACCGGCGAACCCTGGGCCACCTAAACGGACACGGGAACCTAAGCTAACCGCTTCGCCACTGGGCCGGCCCCTCTTTCACTTTTCTATTTAGAAATTACTCTTTGGGAAAGTGCAGGACAGGTATGATGACGGCAGAGTCTCTTTGCTTCTGAAAAACGTAAATGCAGTTTATTCAGTTTCGACTTAACGTTGAACATCCCTACAAGAAAAGGCATCTACAGGTAAACAGGTAAACTATGGGTTAAAAAAGTTACAAATTTTTGAAATTTTATGATCTATGGCCTCTGATGGTATGTTTATGTAAAACTCGATGGCTGTCCACATGTCAAGCTGCTTCCTGGAGGCAGCATTGCAGGAGGTTTATCTCCGTGGTACTGCACTGCGATTATATTCCTTCCTTTTAATGATGGACCTTAAAGGGTTTATCCTTCCCAGAACCGTGACAGAGTGGACATTGATATTTTGAGACTCCTTGTCTTTTCAGTATCTTCTGTTTCTAAGTGCCCAGAGATCCATATTGTCTTCAAACACAGCTCTGTCTAGCTTTTTGACATATTAGAAAAACGCAATAAATAAATTCAAAGCCTGTTAACTAATGATGTATATCTGTTTTGGATAAGGCTTCTGGACCATTAGGGGCAATTGTCTAATCAAAGGGAATGAAATACCTTTACCTGAGTACCATGAGCTGAGCACTGCTCAGTGCCTTACACATATTATCTCTAAAGATCCAGAGTCCTTTAAGTTCATCTTTTTGTAAAACACAGATAGTAGGTGCCAGGTTTGAATTCTAACCTGAGCTTACTGTCTCGCCAGGGTTTGATTACAAGTGGTCACAATCTTTTGATAATATGTAATCACATTGGTCTTCTGAATGACAACCACTTGCATGTAATATTATATAGCTCTGCCTCTTTCTACTACTACTGTTCTTTCATCGTGAAGATGCTCAAACAATGATTAATTGCTAATTATTTACTAGGACCTAACTTTATAATCAGATTTGTAGATGGCATAGAGCCCAACTTTGTGTTTTCTCTGTCATCTTACAGGTGTACAGAGGGTATCCTTTGGGAGGAACAGATGATAAAGGAAAAGCTATACAGCATATAACTTGAAATAAGCTTTAAGGAGAATATAATGAAATAATTAAATACTAGAATGAAAAAGAGACATTTTTATCATTATACATAAATGTTATTTTAAAGGTCTACCTTTTATGTTTTAATAAAGGAGGTGGTTTTACTTTCTATGAGCACTAACTATTGTGTCCTCTCCACCCCAATTTTCAGTAATTAGTGCTCCCAAAATTCATATCAGCCTCCCTATTCATAGAATGGCATTTTATCAATGCTTTCAAATGATGGCTTGGTGGAAAATTCAGTCTATTTTGTGTATTACAACTAGTTTCTCAATTCTAAAACATAATTTGCCTTGTCTTGTAAAGAGTGTCTTTTGTTGCCATTGTTGTTGTTAAATGTTAACCCCAGATAGACGAGGGCAAGGCAAAGCTCAGAGAGGGTTTGTAGTATGGAGACTTGGGGTCTTTGTCTTGGTATGACAATGGGTTGTGTGACTGAGTGACAGAGCATCTTTTAAGCTTCACTTACCTGAGTTTTAAAATGAAAACTTTAGACTAAATGATCCTTTAATGTCCCTTCCAACTCTCAAGCAACTTAATTCTAAGAATCTACCTGGCCGTCCAAATACGGTAACTCTTTAGATTTGAAATCACCTCATGAACAATGCGGCAAACACATCCAGACTTCACACTCACATCTCATACGTTCCCAGCTCCGTCATTAATGACTTTCAGCTTGTTGCATAATTGAAGTCTTTCCTCCACACCACATAGAGAGGCACATATTAAGACTGCCGAGTTTGAGTGTGCTTTTGACATTGTTTTTGCAATGGGAAAGGGATTCTGCTTTTATTTTGTTTTGTTTCAGATTATACATAGACACCCACAGCTTCCCCCAACCCTGAACTTTTCATTAGGTTACAGAAAAGACAAACCATAAAGAATAATGTAAGGCAAGCTTGGGCTTGTGGAATTTTCTTTAGATATCCTGAAGGGATTGAAACTGGAGAACTGTTTTCAGGAGGGAGTTTGGATAAACCAGAAGGATGGTTGTCTAAAAATTCTTGTTGGTTTTTAATTTCAGCCAAATAATACATTCACTCCTCAGCTACTTAAGCTACCGGGTCAAAGTGAACACAAATAAATTAGTTTCTATCCATCAAATCCAATCTTTCATCAGTCTTTAAGATCAATAAGAGTTTATTGACTGTCCATTATAAGCATTATGTAGACCTATCTTCACTGGGAATTTAAAAAAATGGTCAAAAGACATTCAAGATAGATTGGAACACATTATCTGACTATACAGGAGTCGGCTTTAATATGAACAATTGGTGCAAGCAAATGGGTGAATAATGAAAAAGTTAATAAACAATAGAAAACAACCATGTGTTGTATGGAAATTAGTTTGTTAAGGTTACAAAAATGAATTTGATTATGCTCACATAAAGAAATCTAATATCTGCCACAACCATATTAAGATTAGACTGTAAATTCTATCCACAAATCCCATGATAAACACTTAAAGACATTCCTGAAGCCATCCAATGATATTGCATACAATATTTCACTTAATCCCACAACCATTTCATGAGATAAGTACTATTAATTATTAACATTTCTGCAGATGGAGAATCTGGGCCCAAAGAAAAATTTTCCCCATATATAATGTAAGGAAGAGGCAAGATTCAAATCTAGGTTTGTCAGGTTGAACAGTCTAGAAACTCAGCTTTTAGATACTGAGTTACACTGCTTCCTACACAAATAACTCTGTGTGTGTGTGTGTGTGTGTGTGTGTGTGTGTGTAGCCAAGGGAAATGTACAAAAATCCATCTTCCTCTACAGGAAACCTCACTAAGGTACTTCCTGGCCGAGCTCTGAAACACTGCATCCACATTCCTATTTCAGGAAAAATACACTAATTATTTGGTCTTATTACACTAGATTACGATAGTGTCAGGGGTGAGACCAGAAAAAAATTCACATACGTGAGTGTGACTATGACATGTAAGTTAGTCCTATGAAATAACTTTTTTCATTTTTAAGATATTTAACCATTGATATAGATGGGTAATTCTCCTTTACACTTGTTCAAGCTTTCTCATCTTTGTCCTCTGTTTTTATTACTATTCCATTTTCAGTCCTCAAATATGATTAAATTTTCTAAACTAGATAGCACAGTTGACGACCACATAGTAGGTCCTCAAGTACGTCAACTCCTAAAAGAAGCAGCAAAGAAAAAGTGTAACGAGGAACCCTATTCTTAGGCTCCTCTACTTTACCCCTCCACTTTAGATCAGAGGTGATGCAAGGATTAGAACCGAGAGCAATCAAGAAAGAAGCAGATTTGCAAGAGATCCAAGGGCATTGTAAAGAAAACAGGGCTATACCTAATTTCTAATTCTATATTAAACTTCTGCAGGACGCCCATTACGAATCTTCTTCCATAATTGTCTTCCATACTCTAACTGCCATCCTCCCCTGCCCCCCGCCCTTTATTTTGTTACCTATCTGGTATTTCTTGGGTATGTCAATTCCTGATTCTTTACTAGCGATGAGAAGGGAAAGGGTTCCTTTGATCTAACGGTGTAGCCAGGAACGCGCACGGACCAGGCATCAAACCGAGGAACAATCTGCTCTCTCTTGCCGCACCCTCCCCCACCCGTCTTCTTTTGCTTAAGGAAGTATTTACTGTAAAACGTCCCAATTTCCCTCAGCAGATCCTCTCCCCTCACATCTCCTTTCCCCCTTTTATCTTCCGGTAAATTTTTTGGCTCTTTACTTTGGCCATGTGGCTGCCAAATCGCTCGCTCTCTACTTGACCTTGTCCATTTAAGTCCGTATTCTGCACCAATGAAATATGTAAGATCTTGGCAAGGGTCTAGAACTCAGAGCTATGCCTATTTAATCCTGCCTCCATCAAGGAGCACCCATGGAGCAAAAAACAAAACCCCTAAACCGGTCCTCCTCAGTGCCAGCCCCATGACTTGGGTTCCCAGCAAAAGCACAATGTACAGCCCCAGTCGGAAACTCCCAGCCTTACTGAGGGGGGGAAACGGGGTTTTCCAGAGACCGGTCCCCTTAGGGTTTAAAAGCGCGTCCCGTGGGAGCCTCGCTTTCACTTCTCTAGGGAGTTCGGAGCTGCAAGAGCCCAGGTCCTCGCCGATCCCGAGCGCCCGGGAGTGATCTGGCGCGCCCAGGAGCCCGGGAACGGTGGGCTTTGCGCCGGGTCGACGCAGGGCAGAGCTGGCCAGGGAAGACTGACAGCCACTGGCTACCCCTGAGACCCGGCTGCCGGCTGCCACTGCTGAGCCGCGCCGAGGCTGCCGCGCTCGGTCTCGGACAGAAAGCAGGCGTCGGGGACGGCTTCTCTCAGCCTGTCAGGCGCAGCAGCCCCAGGTGCAGGTGGCTGGCGGCCAGGGGACTCAGGCGCGGCTGCCGCTGCCTGTGGGAGAGCCAGTGCTCTCGGCTGGTCCAAAGTGCAAGGCCAGGCTGTTCCCGGACGCGCCTGGACACGGGGCCCGGCGGCGCGTCCCAGAGTCCCCGGCGTGCCGGGCGCGCGAACTTCTGCGCCCGGGAGAGGAGCGCTTACCATGGAACATGATCTGCGGGAGGCGGGCGTGGTCATGATGACCGCAACTGCTGCAGGAGCAAGCTCTCACCGCCCATAGTCACTCCCAGGACCCTGGTCTTCCGCGGAGGTGCCGGCAGCGGTGCCGGGGAGGGCCGTCTCAGCTGCTGGTTCCTCTCACCCACGCCGCGCCTGCTGTTTCATCCATCCCAAGGGGGGCGGCACACACCACGGCCCGGCTCGGCGCTTTGCCTTTCCCATAACTTCCGTAGGATCAGCCGGCGGTGTACTTTCAGTTTCTACTTTGCGCTTGGTCCGCAGGTTCGATCTTTGAGTTCCTCTCCGGGGCGCCTTCACGGCCCCCCTCTCCTGGGCACCTGCGTCCTCCCCTAGCGCTTCTTGTGCACCTGGACCAGGACCAGATGAGGGCGCGAATTTCCAAGGCACCGCGGGAGGAACGAGCTAGCCTTCTGAGTCAGAGCGATTTGAGGCAAAAGAGTTCCAGATGACCTCTAGCCGCCTTGGCAAAGCTGGGCGACTGGGATCTGAAAGCATCTGTTGCTAATGTAGCCACAGAAGCCACAAATGTGTAGGGCGAAAACTGGGCTATTGCAAGCGGACGCCACGGAGGAGGCGTCGCAGCTATTGCCGCGGATGTGGTGGACGATGCCAAATCGTCTTGTAAAAAAAAAGGAAGTAAAGAATGATTAAGAGGGTCACGCCCTCAGCTCCTCCAACCTCTCTATGAGTCTCTTTAAACTCGGTCTTTTGTACTTGTACCTGCCCAGGTGAGACCTCAAAGAAAGATAATCCCGTGGGCCCACCTAATCTGGTAAGTGGCATCTTTGGACTCAAAAATCAAAGCCCAAATTAGGTGGAGGAAATGGAGATTATACTGGTTAATAACTATGACTCCCACGTGAGCATTTATCTGAATTGGCTAATAAATCAAACTTTCCTTTTTGACTGTGTGTTACTGAGGAGTTAATTTTTTTCTAGGGCTGAATTATTTAGTTATTTCCTGTTTTAGTTAAGTCTCTGATATTTTGCAGAAACCCTGCTTAAATGAAGGTAGGTAATGTACAGTAATAACAGTGGTAATAATAACGGCTATCAGATATCTAGCATTTGCTCTGTACAAGTATTGTGCCAAGCATTCTACATATATGGTCTAATGCAAATTTTTCTATGAGGCAGATAATTTTCTAACGTGCACTTCACAGGTATGGGAACTGAGACTCCCTGAAGTAAATGACTCGAGTTCACTTAGCTAGTTAGTAACAGAGCTTGAACACAAACCTGCCACATTCTGACTCTAGAGGATGCCTGGAACCCCTGTGTTAGAAGTTCTCTGAATATTGTAGAAATTGATGCTGGCCGGGAGACAGGGTCATGTGTCATGTGGGTGTGCCTTTGTCCCAGTGTGGGGACTTTGGGAAAGGTTTCTGGAGTTTGTGAGTTCTAAACTGAGACCCAAGCAGAAATTAACCTGGGGATGGGAGCGTTCCAGATCCTGTTATAGTGGCAACAAAGAAAAGAGAAAAACATGGAATAGAGAGAGAATAACAATGAAATAGAGAGTGAGACAGAGTTGCTCAAGCTTGAAACTCGGATCTTTGATTTCTCTTTTAGTCTCACTTCCCACATTCAATCCATAGCAAGTCCCATCAGCTCTACCTCTACGAGAAATTCTGAATCCAATCTGTCCACTCTGCGAAGTGCCCATGGGCAAACCCATAAAACCCTGCTCTCCAGGGGATCTTCCAGCTTCCCTCTCTCCTCATAGCAGCAGGATATCAGATTTACACTTGCCACCCCCAGGACCACCCTCTGGTTGCTTCCCACTAAGTACAGGCCTTCAAGGCCCTGCTGCCCTCTCTGTCCCTCTCTGGTCCCCACCTCACTGCACTCCAGCCACACTAGCCTTTTTCTTCTCTGTGCCCAGCCAAGCTCACTTCCACTGAGAGCAGTATCTAGCACAGAGGCATTCAGAAAGTATGGCTGAGTGACAGAATGAGAGAGAACAATTGAGTGAGAATGCGTGAATGAGATCCTGTGTGAAAGAGAAAGTACGTGAAGGCAGAAGGGAAATAGAAGGAGAGCGGAAGAGAAGGAGGGAAGCAAATGAGAATAGGAGACAGATGGGGTGGGAAAAGCTAAGTATGTCCATTTGCTGATCCTAGAGTGGGAGGTGGGGAGTGCAGAAACAGGAGGCTGAAGTGACTTTTAAAAATGAATTCTGTAACTAAATACACCTAGGTTGGTTATTTATTTATTTAAAATTCCTGACAGCAGCGTTGAGGAAATTGCACATAGCCTGCACTTTTTTTTTTTTTTTAACTTTTCAGGGACAGATAAAAGAGCTTCCACCAATAACTTGCTCAGAAGGAACTCTTGTCTTTCTTTTTCATACAATTACCATAAAACCTGGCTGAATAAGGGCTTATGCATAAGCGAACTTTTGGGAAGCATGAGACAAAATTATTCAGAGCTCTAGGAGAGGAAATATAAATTCTTCACTGGACTCTGACCCCAAATGTGAAGAATCACTCTGAAGAAAATATTCATAAAGCATTTGGAATTTTCATTGTTATATGAAAATGGGCACATTCTAACTACATCAAGTTATTATTTTTCTGTCTATCAGAGAATTAATATCATTTGGAAAAAAATTCCAAAATGAAGTTTTAAATTAGTGGTTGATATTTGGATAAACTGAGCATTATTTTTCATAAGACAGATGGACAAGGATAAAATGTTTTATGGATTTTTATATGCTAATGTTTTATGATTAGAGAAATGGAGTGGTTACTATTCTGTTCACTTGTAGACTCAATAAATTGTGCAGAAATGTCAACATGGAAACAAGATAGCATATTATAACCAATAAATGTTAAGAGGAAAGACATTCTCAGAATGATTAATACAATGTAATAGAACAAATTGAATCAAAATGATGTGAATGTCAACTTAAAGGGAGAATTATCAAAGGTTAACCAATGTCTTTTTTAATATTCTACAATCTTCAATCAAAATAGTCAATTATTGGTAACTTGAAAATATTTTCTTGATTAATTATCTGAACTATTTTTACCCAACTTAATATGACTATTCTTTGCAGTCTGAGATCTGAATGTTAGCTATCGTTCTGTCTATGGACATTTCCTGAAGTTCCTATGATTTAATTTTCCAGGCATAATATTCAACATATTTCAAACACAGACACACACACGCACACAAAACCGACTTCTTCATGGGCATGTGTTCTGTGTAGTGGTACAAGGGCTCGTGCTTAGAAGGGCTCCCTTCTTGGTTTAATGCTCTGCTGTGACTGTCTTGAAATTCTTAATTATTTTTGGACAAGAGGACTCTCATTTTCACTTTGTGCTGGGCCCTGCAGATTCTGCAACTGGTCATGTATGCTAACACATGTTAAGCTACACATTGTGGATAGCAATGCATGTCTTCAGGGTGGTTTTCAGGCTGATGTGAAAAACAGATGTTAAATGTGTAATCTCAAGGATAAAGAATATTATGAAAAAGAAAGGATGAGACGTATTTCAAACCAGGGGTTTAAGGAAATCTAAACCCATTTTAAAAATTAGTGAAGCTAGGGTCCAAAAAGGTTAATTTACTGGTCCAATGGAGAAATAGCTATAAGCAGATAATCTATAATTCTAAATCAATCTGTTTGATTTTCAAGCTTGAGCTGAAGGATGAATTTTAAATTTTATCAAATGACTACCGAGCATCTATTTACATGGTCATGTTTTTTCTTATTTACATTCCTGAATAAGTCCACAAATTTACCATAATGCTAAATTCCAGTTGCTAATATTTAATTTAGAATTTTGAAATTATATCCATAATTGGTATATATTTGTTCTTTGTACTATATTCAACTGAACTTGGGCTATTTTTGGTAGATTCTCTTAGCTTCATAAAAGGATTTGGGAATTCTGTTGTTTTCTAGAAACTGTGACTGTTTAAGTATTATATAAACTATTTGTTTCTGGATGATTGACTAGAGTTCAACAATAAAATATACTTACTTTCACAGGATGAAGCCCAGGGATAGGATAAGACTGCTAGTTTCGAGCATTATGAGAGTGAAAATAAAAAGGTTTCTTCTGAAGGCTGAATCAAAATGACCACGTCAGAATCTCAGGAACCTTGCTGGAAATGTGTGTGTCAGCATATCAATGATTTGTTGAGCCATGGCAATGAATGAAATCACCCAGCCTGCAACTTAGAAGAGAGGAGAGAGAGAGAGAGAGAGAGAGAGCTAACGCCAGGAGGAACCTTGAGACACGAACATTAAGGGTAGATAGAGAAATGGGTGCCCACGGACAAACTGACAAATTGTGGGCAGCAGAGTGGGAGAATCAGAAGTCAGTGTACCAGAAAGCGAAGGAGGACAGAATTGCAAAATAAATTAAGTAGTCAGTATTTCCAAATGTCACAAAGAGATTGAACGAGATGAAGATTGAAAAGTGTGTCCACAGAATGTGGTACAGTAGAGATCGTCTGTGGTCCTCATGACAACAGTTTGAGATGAGCAGTGTAAATAAGAGTAATATTCTAATTTGTGGGGTGTAAGGGAAGATGCAAATAAAGTGAGAGGAGATAACTTTTTAAAGACATCTGGTAGAGATAAAAGGCTTGGGGTAATGGTTTGAAAGGCATGCAAAGCATAATGGAGGCTTCTATTTTCAAGTATGACAGGTACTGGAGCATATTTATATATTAATTGATAAAATTAGGTTCTTCTGAAGAAGTAGGAAAGGATGGAACCAAGAAACCCAAGATATCAGATTTATTTTTTTTTTCTTACGCTGCCTTCATTTCTCTCTCCTCTTTCATTTGAGTCGTTAAATCGTATAATTCTAAACAATCAGAATCCAGTAAAAATCTGGTGCCTAATTTTATGTGTCATGTCAAAATGTTCCCTATGACACTCACTTGTCTGCTTTTGGATTGAGTATTGGCTAGTCTAAGGGAAAAATATTTCCCAAGTGGTCTTTCAGAGGGAGCAGCTGTAGCTTATGTAGTTTGCATTATTTAATCCTTTTGTACGCTAATAGATGTGTTGTTGGCAATCAGAGGTTTCTTTTATATACTAAATTTTGGAGGAATTGTGCTTTTAACCACTGCCTTTATAAATGAATAATTAGAACATTTTCCTTATGCAAATTATTTGAAGAAAATGGAAAAATATTTTCCTTTATTGCCTTAAAATCTCTAAACAGATTCCCTTAATATCATCCAGTTACTATGTGAAGATGTTGAGTAGTTCTTATAAGCTTTTGGACAAGAGTGAGAGTGTCTTATTCAACCTGAAATTCTCTGAAGTCAACAGATTTCCTTTCAAGTTGCAGATTCTACCCCAGTGTGACTTGTGGAAAAGGGAGATGTCAGACTGCAGAGGTCTTGACTTGCTGTTCTCGGAGAGAACCGGTGCTCCAGGCAAACCTGTGTTAACATTGGGAATGTTATAACACCAAGTACTGATTGCCGTTGATATGTCCCAGGTTCTAGTAAGCTTGTCAAAATTCTCATATTTAATATAGATTTAGACTTCTTTCCCTAATATGGAGGGCTGTGTGTCCTATTTAAGTCATTTTATTATTCAATTAGAAAATTAGTCCAATCTGCCTCTCCTTCAGGCAAGCTAGATTTGTTCTAGCACATTTGTCATTGCCTTGGACTGTGATTGAACTCTCAGAACATCCATTAACTCGTATGTGACTTGGAATGATTAAGTCTATTCCAACAGTAATGAAGTCAATAAATAGTAATCTAAAGAGATCTTGTACTTGCCTGAGTTCCTAGGGTATCAATCATTGCTCTGTGACAATAGTGTATCAATTAACTGGCATCCTAAAAGCCTGGAACTACCATTAATATGCTCTCCTAAAATTTTAATATGTTAGCTGGCAGTGACATATACACCTCAATGAGAAGAGCAGAAAAATGGAAGTTTTCAAGAGATCACAACACTGAACTATTGAGTTTGGTATATCAGAAAATGATTTTTCAAACAATGGAGCCGAATGTCCTGTTTCTTAACTAACACGCCCTGTGAAGTGGTGGCTATATGCTTTGATTTCCTTGTTTCTTTTATGATGTTAGCAGTTCTCCCAAATGTTTAACTAACAAATTTTCTAATCACGTCTTTCTCATTAGATTTTCTTTTTTTGATCAACACTTTTTTTTCCTGATCTGTCCTAGGTAAGACATTATTTTTACCAGTGAAATGTAATATTTTTTTCTTTTTATTTCCCTCCTTTCAAAATGATATTCTGTGTCATTTTTATTCTCTGAGACCTTTAAACTTTAATTCAGATCAGAAAAGTGAGGCTCTTTTGATTCTAATTCCAAACCAACCCATATTATAACTGCTTTTTATTCTAAAGTAGACTTTATGAAATTAGGGCTGTCTACCAAATACAGATATGTCCCTATATATTAAGCTATTTGAATTTATCTTTTAAGCTTTTCAGTATGTATATTTTCATTTTATAGACATTATCTAAGTGGCCTACAATGAGACCTAACCAAAAAGCAAGACAAAAACGAATGTTGTATGTGCTGGTATATTGATCATTTAAGAATGATCCTCTGAGACTAGAGTTTTTGCAGGCTTTCTGCACTATGAGCCTGATTTAACTCAGTGACTTTAAAGTAAAATCTCAAAACAATCAAAACCAAACAACAAAATCGAGGACTTTCAAGAGCTACAAGGATCTCTATCAAAAGGCAAGAAAGATTAGCGGCCTAAGGAAATCTCAGGACGTTGAACCTAGAAAAGTGCTAGAAATGGAGTAGATCAAATTCATGCTTTTGTTGTTCTTATAGTGGCTTTGTGTTACTCTTGAGTGAGACTAGTGTCTTCTTTATGATCTTAGTTTTCTCTAAGTCTTTTGTTGCCTTAATAAATACTTGTTTTTGTTGACTTAAATTTGACTCAATACAATTCCCTCTTTTCTTCCTCCTGCTAAATCTTTATTGAATAGTGAACAGTAAAAGGAAATAAATAAACCTCATGGCAAACTTGTTCTCGCAAGTAGGCCTCTTTGGCTGTTCTCTTTGGTACTTTTCCTGCTGTGTACGTGCAGCTAATTCAATGTATCCTATCCATAAATGGAATTAATTGGACCTTTGCTTTTCCATGACAGTAAGTACCAGCTCAAACAGTGTGTGTTTCTGAAATTTATTGTTGCCAAGGCAATGAATTTCTTCCAATGAAAAAGCACCAACAAAATTTTGTGTAGCTGTTGCTCTGACAGTACATTTTATGTTACTAGAAATAAAGGCCAAATAGCAAGGACACAGAATTATAATCAGTTTCACTCTTTCTTTGGCCTATAAGATGTCCCAAACAGTTTTTATCTGCTTACTACTGTATGTGTACTATATGCACTCTAGGAAGAGACAAAGGAACTCTCCTAAGGATTGCTTCTGCCATCCTGAACTTCATTAATCAGGCTTATCTTTCGTCCTGGGAATAGTGGAGGTCACCGCACAGATGGGCTCTAATCTCTCCCAACACTAAGTAACCCTTCTTTTAATTCAACACATAGTTATCAAGTAATACAAAGTGCCATACACTGTTCTGGGTGCTCAGGATATATCAGTGTACAAAACAAACAAAAATAATTTCTGTTAAATTGAGTTTACATGCTAGTGGAGGACTTA